TAACCCTAACCCTAACCCTAACCCTAACCCTAACCCTAACCCTAACCCTAACCCTAACCCTAACCCTAACCCTAACCCTAACCCTAACCCTAACCCTAACCCTAACCCTAACCCTAACCCTAACCCTAACCCTAACCCTAACCCTAACCCTAACCCTAACCCTAACCCTAACCCTAACCCTAACCCTAACCCTAACCCTAACCCTAACCCTAACCCTAACCCTTCGCCCCCGCTCCTCTCTCTGTTGCGACCATCCCTGCGCCAAAAAACGCTCGGTCGCTTCGCTCCCTCGCGTTTTTTGGGCGCCCTAACCCTAACCCTAACCCTAATCGGCTCCATCTGATATCCAGAGTGATCGACTTGTTTTGATTTTCTATGTCGATCACAACAAGTATAGACCGTCTCGTATATGCGTCAGAGGGCACTTTCTGATGCCAAAGTGATGTGCAAAGATCCTAGATGTATGTCTCCCACCTTAGGAGCCTCAGAGAATATTTTAGCGATTTATTTCGAATTATGACCCTGAACTATATTCATGTGGCTATACGCGTCTACTTGGCTGATGTCATACTGTACTAGTTCAATGGCCACGAAGAACGGCGATTTTTTGAGCTATGGAACGCCCTATTAACTTCAACAATGCTCCTGCGATGAGCCCAAGTAAGGGTGTGAACGGCTGACTAAGATGCTTACTCAACGCTTACCTAACGCTTACTTAAGGCTTACTTAGGGTTCTGCATGTAGATGTGTATTGGGCTTGTTGCCAGATACCCTGAGGACGTAGATGGCTAGAAAAATTCGTGTAGATGCATCTGACTGGTGTGAATGGACTGACATAGGGTGCACTGCCACATCGGTGTATCTACGCCCCATAAACGCGGATATACCTGTTGCACTCCGAGTAAAATATTGTTTGTGGGATGGATATTGGGTGTAAAAATATCTTCTTTTTTTTCTGGGTCGATGTGAATCTTCTATACAGGTCCTGTTACGTCGACGCACTCGCCTAACCTAGCCGTTGATTTTAAAAACGCTCGACGCACTTGCGGTATTATTTCTTTTTGATTTAAAAACTTCGACGCATTCGTTTTTCCCACGGTAAACGCGTCCATAAATCACGATAAAATGTGCGCCAGCTGGAAGTGCAGTGGGGCGATTTTTAGAGATAGTT